TTTCCCGTAGGTACTGTGTTTTGTTCTTGTGTAGGCTCCATTTCCGTTTTCGGTAAACTCAGTAGAATGATGTGCTTTACACCCGAAAAGCTCTATCTTGGTCTCCTATCTGTCCACAAGACGTTTTCCCAGAAGGGCTTTTGGCTTAACTCAAGTTTCATTTTGGCAAACTGTATTTAGTCTTGCTTTTTTATGTCTCTGTGTCAGCAGTGGGGTTTCTCCTGGGTCTCCTGCCATAGCGTTTTCAGTTTCATTTTAAACGACGGATAGTTCGCGCTGACACTGATGCTCCCTGAGCCTGCAGGACAGCTTGAATGTCTTTGGAAACATGTTTGGGGCTGCTTATCCACCATCCGGACTATTCTGCGTTGCAATCTTTCATCAATTTTCCTCATCCGTCCACGACCAGGGAGATTAGCTACAGTGCCATGGGTTGCAAACTTCTTGATAATGTTGCGCACTGTGGACAAAGGCAAATCTAGTTCTCTGGAGATGGACTTGTAACCTTGAGATTGTTGATATTTTGCCACAATTTTGGTTCTCAGGTCCTCAGACAGTTCTCGTCTCCTCTTTCTGTTGTCCATGCTTAGTGTGGCACAGACAGACACACAATGCAAAGGTTAAGTGAACGTCTCTCCTTTTTATCTGCTTTCAGGTGTGATTTCTATATTGCCCACACCTGTTACTTGCCCCAGGTGAGTTTACAGGAGCATCACATGCTTGTAACATTCTTATTTATCCGCAGTTGTGAAAGGGTGCCAATACTTTTGTCCAGCCCATTTTTGGAGGTTTGTGTGACATTATGTCGAATTTGCTTTCTTTCCTCCCTTTTTTTGTTTTGTCCCAATACACACAAAGGGAATAAACATGTGTATAGCAAAACATGTGTTAATGCAATACGTTTCGTGAGAAATACATGATTTCCTGGAGAAATATCAAGGGGATGCCAACAATTTCGGCCATGACTGTATATATACATACAATATATATATATACATACTATATATATATATATATACATAATATATATATATATATATATATATACAAACTATATATATATATATATATATATTTATTATTATTATACAGGATTTATGGCGCCAACAGTTTGCTCAGCACTTTACAATATACAGGGAGACAATACAGCAACAATACAGTTCAATACAAGAGGCTTAGGAGGGCCCTGATCCTTGGAGCTTACAATCTAAGAAATATATATGTATAGGAATATAGATCATTGATCTATAAATCATGTTGATAGTTTTTTTTCCCCTATATATATATATTTTTTTATATGTGGATCCTATATTATTTTTGTTCATATTATGATTTATCCTTGTATAATATATAAGATGTCCAGGTTAGGTTATTATCTAATGGATTTTCTATGTACACAATAGAGCAGGGGTGGGCAACTACAGCCCTCCAGCTGTTATGGAACTACATGTCCCATGGGGCATTGCAAGACTGATAGTTAGGCCCTATTTACACTAGCTGTGGCGTTAACATTTTTTGGGCGTATTTTTATACTTGTGTGTTTTTCACACATCTTCATTCATCGTGCATAGAAAAGCCCCTTTGAATTTAATGAACTATGTCCCACTTAGTCTTTTCTTTGTGCTTTGCTTATTTATTGATTATGGGGCAAAAATTAAGTAAAACATGTTTCACTGTTTAGGTATAAACACAAATTGGTAACTCAGCTTACTCATTTTGGACCATCATCACCATGAAGTTCCTTCTGATCTTCATACTCCTTGGAGCTGCTGGTGAGTCCACCTACTCATATATTGTATTTCTTGACATGCTTTCTTATTACTTCCTTTCCTTTCTTGTCAAAGGTATGCCAAAATTTCTATTGGAGGGAATTTTGTAAGGCTGAAAAGACACCAATATCAATAAGGTTCTTATTTATAATCCACAAATTCAGATTAAAATAAGACAAATGCTTGACCAAGCAGATTTCAATTTACCTTCATAATGGAGGAAAGAGATAGCTTCTTCACCTTGAACACAGCAGATACTTTCCTGAACAAGTCAGACTGTTGTTGTTGAATTTTGCTCTAAATTGTGTTGCCACCTTTATAATTTGGGATTACTTTGTCAACAATTTTAAAATGTCTACAGGGGGGACACGACTGAAACCTTCAAATACATAAAGGGTGTGAATAAGGTTCAGGAGGGCAGTATTTTCACTATGAAGTTAGGATCAAGGACACAAGGGGGTTTATTTACTAAAGCTGGAGAGTGCAAAATCAGACTCACTTCTGCATAGAAACCAACCAGCTTCCAGGTTTCATTGCCAAAGCTTCATTGAACAAGCTGAGGTTAGAAGCTGATTGGTTTCTATGCAGAAGGGAGTCTGATTTTGGACTCTCCAGCTTTAGTAAATAAACCGCAAGGAGACAACCTCACACTAGCAGGTGGAAAGTTCAAAAGTAACCCTTATAAATATTATTTTACCAAAAGAGTAGTTGATGCCTGGAACATACTCCCAGCAGAGATAGTGGGATTGACGTACTAAGGGTCCTCTCCTGCTGCATATTTAGCCATGCGTCTACACCGTGAATCCCCCCTCATACACTGACATATGTATGAGTAGGTTTCGCTAGTCCATACACAGATGGGAGCAAGCCCAAGCCTCCCCTGTGGTAAATTAAGGCTGCAGCATCAGGGTGACTCGTATTTTGCATCTATTCCAAACCAAAACCTTCAGCAAGTCTAGTGGTGGAAACTATATCTATTGCTGGTTGCCAGCAGCTACTACAAGGGTGGTGTGTTCACCTTAGATTTCCATCATCTAGGGCCCTTCACTGGATGGATGGGTAAAGGATGAGTATCCAAAGTCCAGGCCATACCTATGATAGGTAGTGTTGTCTGTGGGCTATTTCTTAGATGAATACACCATGACTGACTTTATGCTTCTGCATCATTTGTCCCTGATTTACCCAGTTGCACTTCAGACATACACAACGTTGAGGGTCCAGTAGGACAACAAGGAAATAAAGGAGAGCTTGGATTCCCAGGAAGACCTTCACCTGATAAATGGTCCTGTGGAATCGAGTCCTAGGAGATAGGAGAAGTTTCTGGAGTGATCTATCAAAGTGTTCCATCCTCTGATGATACCTTATTTGGTGTATAAGGTCAACTTTATAGCTGTTTGGCCCATTGGGTCGCATTAAGGAGGTGAGGGGCCACTTCGGCCGTTTGTGGATTGTCTGCACATAGAGTGGCACTGTGATCACCTCACAGAGTTTGCTGTGGTTTTTCACCATCATCTGTATTTATGGACTCATACAAGTGAAAGTGTTTTTACAAAATCATCCTATAGACTAATAATTGTGCAATATAATGAATGGTCATTATGATTATGATTAAGTCGATGACGAAACGCGTCAAGGGATAGTGACGTCAAGACGTTTTACCGGAACCGGAAGTTGCCTGGCGGCCATTTTGGAGAAGGGAAAAGATCGTGGAAGCACACCTGGACGTTTCCCTGGATGGCTGTGAGATTCCTTTCATTCCCTAACATGCGATTTTAAAAGCTTTATAATGTGAGCAGCTGAAATAAAAGTACACTTTGTTTATCTGTTTGGCGGTATCACACTATGTTTTATATATTCTCTTGGAGACACTGAATATAGAGTATCTGAGGAGTTCAGAGAGTGTCCTGATAACAGGAGAGATCTGAGAAAGACCCATGAGAGTTCCTTGAGTGTTTGAAGCATACTTTTTTGGGATGGTTGGTAAGGGTACCCTTACTACAAATAGAAGTGTGCACTAAATCTTTGCTTTGGTTTTGATGTGGCACTGATGAGTGTGATATACACTTATTTTTCACTGATTCAAGTTTTTTTTCACGTTTTTTTCACCATTTTTCACAAATATTCACTATATTAATTATGTGATGGTTTTTAAAATTATTTTTATTTATTTATAAAAGGTAATGCACTATATGAATTTTCTTTTTTTGAGGTGGATATAATTTTTTGGACACCGTTGGAAGAATTGTTTGGATTTTTCTCTGGTGGATTATAAAGAAATTTCAGTGGACTTTAATTTGTAGTGGACTTTATAAATATATTTTATTTTGTTTAAAGTGAATAGTAGATGGATGGTGTAGAGATTATATTGCACAATTATTAGTCTATAGGATGATTTTGTAAAAACACTTTCACTTGTATGATTTTGTACACCTTCAGGGGAGGGTGTTGATTGTGTTGTAGGGTAATTATTATATTATATATTTGGAGGTGGTTATTTCATAATTAATGTATTTATGGACTGTTGCACATAGCATTTACTCTATGAGCACGTAATACCATATACTGTGATATCATATATTTTGCATTCTATATGTGACACTCTTATTTTATTTTTATTGTATTTGTGTTTTATTTAGGCTGTTAGCGCTACACTATTTCTCTTGCAATTATTGATGTCACCAGAAAAGGTGTCCCTATTGGAAAATTTACACTTACCGATTGTTCTGCTGGCAACTTTACAGTTGTAGATTTCCAATAACTTGCCTTGTGGCTTTCAAGACAGGAACTTTTTAAATGTTTAATTTATTTTTTTTTATAGAATTGGTTATCTTCATTTGATTGCATAATACATGGATTCATAGGTATATTTCAAAACCAGGGGCAGACTGACAACTCATGGGGCCCCTGGGCAATAGGGGATCATGGGGCCCCTGTGTCCTTGCCTAAACTCAAAAAAGCCTATGAAAAAGGTACCAGGGGCATCTCATGGGGCCCCCTACTGACCCGGACCCTCGGGCAGTGCCCGAGTTTTCATATGGTCAGTCCGCCCCTGTTCAAAACGTGTTCTTTTCTCCTTCTCTCCTTAATGTACCTTACATTCTTTCTTCCTTAGCTGCTTTTGAGGACAATAATCAGATCGTTGGAGGATGCACCTGCTAAACAGGGTCTCTGCCGTTCCTGGTAAATCTGAAGTCCGGAGGTATCAACTGTGGTGGCTCCATCATCAACTCCATGTGGGTGCTCTCTGCTAGTCAGTGCTACCAGCCGTAACTTGAATTTTGATGATAGCAGTTTTTACTACAATAATTTGGAGGGTTGGTTGGATGGTGATGTGGAGTAGCTGGCTAGTTGGTCTGATTTCTTGATTTCCTTGCAGAATTCCTTGCAGTAGTGCATTCACTACTTTAGAAATCGTTGCGGCTCCGACCAAGTCGGAACCTCACCGATATGACCGCTCTAATTGCAGACAGTAGGGTGCGACTTGGCATGCAAGTCGCATGGCATTCAAATCGCATGCTAAGTCGCACCCAGTGCAACCGGGGTCTTTGTTATGAATAGCTGCTTATAGATGTGTTGACATCAAGTACTCACTGAAGGACTTAAGGTAGGCCATAGATGATGTGATTTTCTTTCTTGCGACTATGGGTTGCAGGAAAGAAATTGCTCGATCCCCCCATTACCACAGTCAGTATTGATGGGGAGTCCCTCCCATGGAGCTATTGCGTTTTCCTGGGAGAAAGGGGGGGGGGCAGGGGGTGCCGGGAGCCGTTCCTGCCGGGAAAACAGAGTGGTTACTGCCAGCGGCTATAGCTACTGCCAATAATCCCATGCTAAAAATCCCACATGCTGTCTGTACCAAAGCTGATCAATGGATCGACTTAGGTAAATCAGCCTGCCAATGGACGGATCGAATCTTGCTCGGATCAGCAGGGACTGACCGAGATTTGATCTGTCTACGTCTGGCTTAAGAGTCGTTGTCTGCACTTATTTACCCAGTGAATTTTCCACATAAGGGGGTTATTTACTAAAACTGGAGCGTGCACAATCTGCATAGAAACCAATCAGCTTCCAGGTTTTATTGCCAAAGCTCACAGCGGAAATCCACTCAACCTATCAAAAAATACAAGTCAGCAGCTACAAAAACTGTAGCTGCTGACTTTTAAAAAACAGCCACTTACCTGTCCCTCGGTCCCGCGGTGTGTCCCCTGCAGCTCGTTTCACCGGCTGTCCTGTATTCCAGGAGGCCGGCATCTTCAGTGTGGGCACAGCTTGCGGCTTCATAGCCGGGTACCCACTGCGCATGCGTGAGTAGATCTGTGCTTCATGAATGCCCCTGTAGTCTTCTAGGACCTATCACGTGTCCCAAAAGACTACAGGGAGGGAGGGAGGGAGGACACCTTCCGCCCCTCCCGAGGGAGGGGCGGACTGACAACTCATGGGGCCCCCGGGCAATAGGGAATCATGGGGCCCCTGTGTCCTCGCTCACACTCAAACCACACCCAAAAAACCTATGAAAGATACCAGGGACACCTCATGGGGCCCCCTACTGACCCTGGGCCCTTGGGCAGTGCCTGAATACCTGAATGGTCAGTCCTCCCCTGAGGACTACATATCCCTAGCCTACTCATCTGGAAAATCTTACTTCCACCAGCCATTTTCCCTGACAGGTGGGTGCCCTCTCCCTATCCTATCCACTCACAAATGCATGCCAAATCCTGAGGGCAGGCACTTAAAAAGGCTCTGCTGACCCAAGATGGCCACCAGGATCACCTGAATGAAGCATAGCCAACAGGAACACTGCCCCAGGAGACCAGGAAACCATAGAGAAACAGTTTTCTCTTGACTTCCTCTCCAGCTGTAGTACCGCACCAGTCAAGTGCCACCTACAGTGGAGGAAGCAAAGTGCACCTGCGTATACGCTAACAATACCTAACGTTTTGGAGTATCCCATAACACCCCAAACTCCCTCCTGTTACTAATTCTACATGCCAATAAAGTTTAAAAAGACATCCCTTTAAGAAGAACAAATGGACTGTTGCTTTGTGTCTGTCTGTCTTAGGTTTTAAGATGTCTTAGGTTCACTGTTTTAGGAAAGAACCTGGTAAGCTTCGGTGACTCCTATGGGGGTAGCGCTATACATAATGCATTCTATTTAATGTAAACTTCCTCATATGTACTTAAACAGCACTGTATGGATCAGACTGGGAGAGGTCAACATTACAATCTCTAAGGGCACCGAGCAGTTCATCGTCCCCGACAAGGTCTTCAGACACAGAAACTACAACTCCAGAAACCTGGACAACGACATTATGCTGATCAAGCTCGCTTCTGAGCTCACCCTCAACTCCAAAGTCAAGGCCTTGTCTCTGCCCACTGACTGTGCTGCTCCTGGTACCAGCTGTCTGATCTCTGGAGGGGGCAACAATCCGAGCAGTGGAGGTAAGCAGAAAAGAAACCATCAGGCACATTTTTAGCGCACACGTTTACCTCTTCACGCCGCAAATGTGCGGCCTCCCGGCGTCTGGGCCTTGACATCGAGCGGCGGCACCTTTGCGTGCAATTAAGAAATACATATGTGCTGAGAGCGCGCGCCCTGCACACATGTCCGGTACTCATGGAAAGGTCCCAATCTCCTCTTTCGATCGGCACCTTTCCCGATCATGTGACCACCGTGACAGGGAATCACAGCGGTCACATGAACCTAAAACCCCGCCCCGCCTCCCGGCTTCTGAAACCCTTAAATGGTCGGGAGGCGCCGGTGCCAAGGGGTTATTCCAAGAAATGCTTCTAGCTGACTGACAGATATTTAAAGAATAACTAGAGGCAAAACTTTTTTTTGGATAGAGTAGAGAGGGATTAGAAACCCTGTCAGTTTTTACTGCTGCTTGTGCCCCCATTAGGAAGATCCGCCCATTTTTTGTTTGTCCCGTTTACCATTACCATCAGAAGAGGAAGTAAAAAAAAAAAAAAAAAACACATTTTGGGTTGACACCAAAACAGGAACTGGAGGGACACTAGTTCTGTGACACCCTGGGATTCCCTCTCTTAGGAGGGATTTCTCTTCATTTTCTGTTTTGGCGATGGGACGGGAAGTGAAAGCAAATCTCTCCAATAGGACACAGATGGCAAAACAATACACCTGACAGAGGTTACAACCCTTCCTTACTCTATCCAAAAAGAAAAAAAAACAATTTGCCTTTAGTTCTACTTTTACAGGAAAAGTCATGTTTTTGAAAATATCCCGGATGCAAAAAAATGTATGAATTTAACCACTTGCCGTCCGTAGATAGCCAAAGGATGGCTTCACTGCGGCCGGCCAGTTCTGGGAGGGAGTCATATGATGTCCTCCAAGAACGCGCCCTCCCGCACGTCACTGGGGCTTGCACCCGGCGATTTACGCTGATGATGTGGTAAAAGGCCAATCACAGCGGCCTTTTACCACATTATCAGCCGTGTTCAATGACACAGCCTATCACCGGTAAATGCAATTGCCGGTTATCGGCTGCACTTTCCTAACGTTGTCACAGCATGAGGAAAGTACTGCCGATAATCGCCAATTGTCAGAGGAGGGATCGGCACCGATCATCAGGGCACTGATGATCAGTGCCCAGCAGTGCCACCCACCAGTACCACCCACCTGTGCCCAGTAGTGCCACCCACCTGTGCCCATCAGTGCTGCCCACCAGTGCCACCCATCAGTGCTGCCCAGCAGTGCCACCCACCAGTACCACCCACCTGTGCCCAATAGTGCCACCCACCAGTGCCCATCAGTGCTGCCCACCAGTGCCACCCATCAGTGCTGCCCACCAGTGCCACCCACCAGTACCACCCACCTGTGCCAATAGTGCCACCCACCAGTGCCACCCATCAGTGCTGCCCACCAGTGCCACCCACCAGTACCACCCACCTGTGCCCAATAGTGCCACCCACCAGTGCCACCCATCAGTGCTGCCCACCAGTGCCACCCACCAGTACCACCCAGCTGTGCCCAGGAGTGCCACCCACCTGTGCCCATCAGTGCTGCCCACCAGTGCCACCCATCAGTGCTGCCCAGCAGTGCCACCCATCAGTACCACCCACCTGTGCCTAATAGTGCCACCCACCTGTGCCCATCAGTGCTGCCCACCAGTGCCACCCATCAGTGCTGCCCAGCAGTGCCACCCACCAGTACCACCCACCTGTGCCCAATAGTGCCACCCACCTGTGCCCATCAGTACGCCCCCAAGAAGTGTCATGTCCTGCTTGTGTGATTGACTCACAGTCCTGATAAGGAGGGGGGATTTCCCCTGAAACGCGTTGGCTGTATGTATTACCTGTGAACTAGTATCTTCAATACATTTCATACCTTTAACTGCAAGCGTGACAAACTTTCCACTAGGCGCTCTTCTACGTTCTTCTTAGGATACAATCCTAGACCTGCTATAGTTTGGTATAGTCTGGATTTTAACAAACGATGAAAATATAGGTTAAGAACAAAAATATCCTTTAAAAAAAAACTAACGAGAATGTGATTATTTGTATTTATTTTTATTTTTATGTTTTCTATTTTAGCTGTCTAATGTTCAGTGTATACTGCACTCTGTGTGAACATTGTTGTAGATGCTTCCTTGTAACAACATTACGGAATAATAATTGGCATTTGGTTTTCATTTGGTAGCCAACATGGCCCACCTCCCGAAGTGTCGGAATGCCCCCATCCTGACTGCCACCCAGTGTAGGAAGGATTACCAAGGTGAGATCACCGACAACATGAACTGCATTGGTTGCCTGGAGAACGACAAGGATTACTGCCAGGTAATTTTTACACTTTTATGCAACAGGTCCAACTATCTAAATTTTTAAAGAAGAACTCCAGTTTTTTTTTTTTTTTTACACTCACTGTGGAGCCTAAAGGGTTAATCCTCTGCATTGTGTAAAAAGGCTATTTGATCCTGTTTTCTCTGATCCTCCCTTCTTCCACAGTTCCAAAGCCATCTACAGATAGAACAGAGCGTTAGGGGCAGGCTGCACATGCTCAGTTTGGTGTTTATTGCTAGAGAGTTTTTTTTTGTCTTGGGAGAGTGCATGTGATCAACACAGGGCCAACTGGCATTGTTCAGACAGAGGGTCAGTGGTCCTGCAGTCTCATAGGACAATCAGGGGAGAATGAAAACTCCTTCTACAAGCTTTACCATGTGCTCTGCTGAACACTGATAGAAGTCACAAGACTGCTCTAACTGCTGAAGAGAAAAGATATTTAGCAGTTTATATTTACTAAAATAGTTGTACTTCCATGTTCCACTAGTTGCACTTACTAATATAGTTGCACTTACATAAGGCCAGATACAGTGAATGCAGGATTCGAGGAGACCAGATATAGTGAATGCAGGGTCCGGGGAGACTAGATATAGTGAATGCAGGGTCCGGGGAGACCGGATATAGTGAATGCAGGGTCCGGGGAGACTAGATATAGTGAATTCAGGGTCCGGGGAGACTAGATATAGTGAATGCAGGGTCCGGGGAGAGCGGAAATAGTGACTGTAGGGTCCGGGGAGACCAGATACAGTGAATGCAGGGTCCGGGGAGAGCGGATATAGTGAATGCAGGGTCTGGGGAGAGCGGATATAGTGAATGCAGGGTCCGGGGAGAGCGGATATAGTGAATGCAGGGTCCGGAGAGACCAGATATAGTGAATGCAGGGTCCGGGGAGACCAGATATAGTGAATGCAGGGTCCGGGGAGACCAGATATAGTGAATGCAGGGTCTGGGGAACCAGATATAGTGAATGCATGGTCTGGGGAAAGCAGATATACTGAATGCAGGGTCCGGGGAGAAGATATAGTGAATCAGGGTCTGGGGAGAGCAGATATAGTGAATGCAGGGTCCGGGGAGACCGGATACAGTGAATGCAGGGTCCGGGGAGACCGGATATAAGTGAATGCAGGGTCCGGGGAGACCAGATATAGTGAATGCAGGGTGCGGGGAGAGCGGATATAGTGAATGCAGGGTCCATCCAACACCCCAGAACAGAAAATTTTCTTCCAGATATAGTGAATGCAGGGTCCGGGGAGACCGGAATGCTGATATAGTGGAAATCAGCAGGGTCCAGGGAGAGCGGATATAGTGAATCCAGGGTCCGGGGAGAGCGCTCTATAGTGAATGCGGGGTCCGGGGGAGAGCGGATATAGTGAATGCGGGGTCTGGAGAGACCAATATATAAAACGATCAGGGTCCGGGGAACCATGTATAGTGAATGCAGGGTCCTGGAAGACCAGATATAGTAAATGCAGGGTCCGGGGAGACCAGATATAGTGAATGCAGGGTCCGGGGAGACCAGATATAGTGAATGCAGGGTCCGGGGAGACCAGATATAGTGAATGCAGGGTCCGGGGAGACCAGATATAGTGAATGCAGGGTGCGGGGAGACCAGATATAGTGAATGCAGGGTCCGGGGAGACCAGATATAGGGAATGCAGGGTCTGGGGAGAGCGGATATAGTGAATGCAGGGTCCGGAGGGACCAGATATAGTGAATGCAGGGTCCTGGGAAGACCAGATATAGTGAATGCAGGGTCCGGGAGACCAGATATAGTGAATGCAGGGTCCAGGAGACCAGATATAGTAAATGCAGGTCAGGGGAGCCCGGATATAGTGAATGCATGGTCCGGGGAGAACAGATTGTGAATGCATTCCGGGGAGACCTGATCGCTTAGTTAATGCAGGGTCCAGGGAGAGCAGATATAGTGAATGCAGGGTCCGGGGATGCAGATATAGTGAAAAGGGTCCGGGGAGACCAGATATAGTGAATGCAGGGTCCGGGGAGACCATCATAGTGAATGCAGGGTCCGGGGAGACCAGATATATTTTTGAGTGAATGCATACCTTTGGAGGATGACCAGATTTTATAGGAATGGCAGGGTCCGGGGTCACCAGATATAGTGAATTCCAGGCTGTCAGGGAGACCAGTCTATACTAAATAGGGTCTGGGGAGCGCGCTTCATATCTAGTTAATCATGGTCCCAGGCAAACGCGCTTGAACTGATATAGTCTAAATGCAGGTCCGGGGAGACCAGATATAGTGAATACAGGGTCCGGGGAGACCGGATATAGTGAATGCAGGGTCCAGGGAGAGCAGATATAGTGAATGCAGGGTCCGGGGAGAACCAGATATAGTGAATGCGGGTTTGGGGTGTTGGACACCATATATAGTGAATGCAGGGTCCTGGAGACCAGATATGCAGTGAAAATGCTGGGTTTTATACACGGGAGACCAATTTTGATGAATTTTAGGGCATCCAATGGGAGATTTTCAGATATAGTGAATGCAGGGTCCGGGAGAGCAGATACAGTGAATGCAGGGTCCAGGGAGACCAGATATAGTAAATGCAGGGTCCGGGGAGCCCAGATATAGTGAATGCAGGGTCCGGGGAGACCAGATATAGTGAATGCAGGGTCCGGGGAGACCAGATATAGTGAATGCAGGGTCTGGGGAGTGGGATATAGTGAATGCAGGTCCAGGGAGACCAGATATAGTGAATGCAGGGTCCGGGGAGACCAGATAAGTGAATACAGGGTCCGGGGGAGACCGGATATAGTGAATGCAGGGTCCAGGGAGAGCAGATATAGTGAATGCAGGGTCCGGGGAGACCAGATATAGTGAATGCAGGGGTCCGGGGAGACCAGATATAGTGAATGCAGGGTCCAGGGAGACCAGATATAGTGAATGCAGGGTCTGGGGAGACCAGATATAGTGAATGCGGGGTCCGGGGAGACCAGATATAGTGAATGCAGGGTCCAGGGAGAGCCAGATATAGTGAATGCAGGGTCCTGGGAGAGCAGATATAGTGAATGCAGGGTCCGGGGAGAGCCAGATATAGTGAATGCAGGGTCCGGGGAGACCAGATATAGTGAATGCAGGGTCCGGGGAGACCAGATATAGTGAATTCGGGGTCCGGGGAGACTAGATATAGTGAATGCAGGATCCTGGGTTTAGTAACACTTTATATAACAATACCTCACACACAGCTAATATGCACATACAGTATATACAAATATATTAACCCAAACTTCTTTCTGTAATAAAGTAATATTTGCTCTTTAGACATTGTACTAGCGCTGCCTTCCCCTTCAGCAATGCTTTGTTTCTCATTATTTACTACATTCCCTCCCTGTCAAGGCTGGATTGTAAAGTTGAATTCCTGCCTGAGTTCAGTATTTGTTAATTGACTGTTTTGTCGTGTACTAGCAGCCCATACACAGTATGAATGATCAGCACTGAGATCAGGCAGAAGACAGGTCAGCCAGACACTGAGCTCACATTTCTGCTGTTGCAGGGAGAGACTACATGAAAATGACAGCAAACACAGCTTTTCAAATCCTTACAAATGGCCATTCTTGATTGGTTCTCTTCTTCAGCCTTCTAGACTAATAATTATTCCTTCATAACTTCTATATCTGTGCAGCTTGAGCTCAATTTTTGCAATTAATGTCCCTGTCTCTTACAGGTAAAATCACTCTAAACCAATATTTTTTAATGTTTCATACAGTATGAAAGCTTTCTTTTTGTATATGTTTGGTTAAAAAAAACATGTTTTTTAATATTTTCTTTCACAATTGCAGGCTGCGTCTGGTACCCCCGTGGTGTGTAACGGAGAGCTCCAGGGTATTGTCTCCCGTGGACATGGCCAGGCTTTGAAAAACGCCATCATTGCCTACACCAAAGTCTGCCACTACATGGACTGGATCTCCAGCATCATAGCTGCCAACTAAACACCAGTCGTTTCATGATATCTATCACTTTCCACAGCTATATATGAGTGGTTTTTTTTTTAATAAAATGTTGAAAGAGATTAAAATGATAATGAACTAAAATGTCTTGTGTTGTATGATATTAAGAATCAGTTATAGCAATATCCAATTTTCAACACGGTTAAAGATTGACATACAGTACAATCTTATAAATGTGACTCCCTCCAGTGTAAATAGTTTTTTTGTTTGCATAGTTAAAGGCTTGCTAGAAACCTGGGTATGACTCAGTCTGGGTTACTTCAGGTCAAACATGGAGGGCTCTGCAGGTCAATTCTATGATACCTCCCCTTGCTCTAGAACCTTGGAGAAGTTTCTAGAAGCCAGTAGGTGGGGGTGAGGAGGGTCTGATCTGAGACAGGAAGGTTACTTCAGGTAAAACATGGAGGGCTTTACAGGTCAGTTCTCTGATACCTCCCCATGCTCTAGAGATTTGGAGAAGTTTCTAGAAGCCAGTAGGGGGGGGGGTGAGGAGGGTCTGATCTGAGCCAGGAAGGTTACTTCAGGTTAAACATGGAGGGCTCTACAGGTCAGTTCTCTGATACATTCCCCCCCTGCTCTAGAGACTTACTAGGCGAGGGTGAGGAGGTTCTGATCTGCATATTTATGGGAGTCTGGCCAGTCTAGGTAGAAGGCCTGGCATGATGGTTAGGCTAGGCAGAAGGCCTGGCATGGTGGTTAGTCCCTTAATTATGACAGAGCCTGGATAGCAGGGGAGTCAGGTGGAAGATGGCGTAAGGAAGTGCTGCTGGTGTTGAGCCTGGGAGGGGGCCCCAGAGGAGGGGGTTCTACCTATAGGCTGGGATCTGGAAAAAGGGGCCTCCACTGTTCCACAGTCTACCAGGAAGGACAGCCTGTCAGCAGGGGAAGAAACCAGCCCAGCATAAGGACTGACAGCAGCTTAACCTTTCCAGCTACAAGAACAGGCTAGTGTGAGTACTTTTATGTTCCCTGAGCTTACAATGGAGAGGGCAGTCAGGTGCAATACCCAACTAGTTTTCCCTGGGACTTTACACTTATATGTCTCGGAATCCTTTGTCCTGGGATACCCTCATGACAGCCAGGTGGATGAGGAGATTTTCATCTGGAGTCTGAAGAGGTTCATTTAAGCGGACCATGTACTCCTAGTAAAGACTGTGTGTCTCCTGAAGGAGTAGAGAGTCCAGGATCTATTCTTTTGTGCTGAATTTTTGCCTTTTTGTGCCAAGCCCATCCCCTGAAAAACAACCATAATCCCCCCCACCAAACTTTACACTTGGCACATTGCAGTCAGGAAAGTACTGTTCTCCTGGCAACCGCTGAACCCAGACATGTCTATCGGATTGCCAGACAGAGAAGCGTGATTGGTCACTCCAGAGAACATGTCTCTTCTGCTCTAGAGTCCAGTGGCAGCATGTTTTACACCACTGCATCCAACTCTTTGCATTGCACTTGGTGATGTAAGGCTTGGATGCAGCTGCTCGGCCATGGAAACCCATTCCATGAAGCTCTCTACACACTGTTGTTGGGCTCATCTGAAGGCCACACCAAGTTTGGAGATGTTTAGCTATTGACTCTGCAGACAGTTGGTGACTTCTGCGCACTGTGCGTTTCAGCATGCGCTGACCCTGCTCTGTCATTCTACGTGGCCTACCACTTGGTGGCTGAGTTGCTGTCATTCCCAGTTGCTTCCAGTTTGTTAGAATACCACTGACATTTGACCGTGTATTTATTAGCAAGGAAATTCCATGGATGGACTTATTGCCCAGGTGGCAACCTATCACGGGACCACGCTTGGAGTCACTGAGCCCCTGAGAGTGACCCATTCTTTCACCAATGTTTGTAGAAACAGTCTGCATGCCTAGGTGATGATTTTATACACCTGTGTCCATGGAGGGGATTGGAACACCTGAATCCAAACACTTGGAGTGGTGTCCCAATACCAATAAAAGCTCATGGTCTGTATACTGATTTTGGATGCAAGAGTGGAAAATGCGTGTTGCCTGATTGTGCGTTGCTTAGGGGGAACCAAAAACTCAGCAACTCCTATGGGGATAGCGATACATAAACATAATATTTAACACTTTTTTAATAGAAACATTTATATAAAAATGATTAAAATGCGCTTTGACCATATGTAGTGCTTATAAATCAAAGTGAGCGCTACTAATAAATTGTCAATTGTCAAATGAGCAGCTAAAAGCACTGAAGATGATCACAAACACCTCTGATATAAATAAATGAGTAAAGTACAGCGCTAAATAACACGATATAAAATTCTACAAAATTCGATCTAAATTGTTCGATCAAAGATAAATGTTCATAAAATCCTGCGATCGATTCATGAATGTGGTGAACACAGCTTATAACAGATCCGGAAAATGGCAGAAATGCGCACTCACCGACCGCGCATAGGAAATGCGCATGTGTGTATCAAATCCCACAGATGTCGTTATCCTCCGGGAAGAGGTATCATCAGTCGATCTGCTGGGCTAACAGGGCCTCCTTAGGTTTGGATCAGCCAGGATACACGTTCCTTCCAGGAAACAGTTAAAAGCAGAGCAGAAGCAAAAGTTCATACATAGAGCAAACTCTGGACTTGGCTTTGTAGTAGAAGCAAAAAACAGCAGACAAGCTTCTTCCTGTAGCCCTGGTTCACATATATGCGTCTGTGTGGGCCGCGTTTTGCACAGGTACGAGAACCCATTCATTTGAATGGACTCCCATGCCCTGTGACATGCAGGGAAGAAGTCCCTGCACTTCCTTGGAAAACGCAGCCCGCAGGGGAACCTCGGTTCCCAGTACGGTTGCATTTTCCAGTTCGGGCGGCGTGCCATTAGAACTAATGGCACCCGCCTGCGGGTCCGCAGACCTCTGTGCTGGTGTTGCGGTTGCACGGATTTTCGTGCGGATCCGCCGTGGCACCACCCACACATATGTGAACCTAGCCTTAGAGCAGGGGTGTCATACTTAAATCCCCACCAAATAAAAACATCCTTTCATTTCTACTAGGCAGATTCCTCTGTGTATTGAGTTGCAGTACCTGTGTATGCAGATCTGACTGCAGTACAAGTGAACCGGATATCGTATGTACTCTCCAGCGCCTCAGGATATGCACAGCCAAAAGGTAAGCCAAGGGTACCAGGACAGCGACAACCAAAGGAAATGCTTCAGGGGTGCAGCCCTCCTCAGACGGGGAAATCAGCCACTGTATAGAGAGAAAACAGGTGGCGCACACACCTAGTGCATTATCCAAGGTTTATTGTAGGAGTGAAAGAATAATAAAAACATACTCACAGACGAAGCATGTATCTAAAAAGCATAGAAAAATGACAATGGCAGGCAAGGTGTTCTCACTGTCAGTGCGGTCAAATGGCTGACATGTTTTGGGGACAAATCCCTTTCCTCAGAGCTGATGACCAACCTCTGATGCAGATGTATGATGAATGGAAAGTAGGAGCCTCGCATCAACGGCAAGGCTCCTACTTTCCTGTTAGAGCCTGGGATTGAACCTGGTCCTTCTGCAGTGGGAGGGAATGGCTCTTCTCACTGAGCTATCTGGAATGCTGGACAGCTCCCTTGACAATTCTTGGATAATCCTGCCTTGTGCCTTGATTTCTCTTGAACCTTGAACTCCTTGCTCCTCCCATGAACTTCCTTATAAAAGCCATGTCCATGCACTTCCTCCTTGCCAGATTATTGTGCCTTATCAGCCATCATCCCGCTTACTGTTCCTGCTGCTGTCTTCATCTACATTACCGACCTTTGGCTTGCTACTGACTAGGATTCTGCCTCATCCTATCTACTACCATTGGTGACCGACCCTTGGCTTGTGACTGACTCCGCTTCTGTTTAATCCCTGAACTGTTTGATCCGCTTTTGGTTTCCAGCCTACTCATTCCCTGGTGGGTTGATCCTGAGATCTGCGACCTGGCATTCACACGCAGCCAAATCCATCTCCACCATTAGGAGCTCTGGGGAAGATCGGTGGATGCTTAGACCCCGCACCTCAGGTGAGCCTGCATCATTCCCAGGGTGGGCCGCTGGTGTACCAATCCTGCTGGTTTCCGGGAAGCCTTACAACTGCTGTAGCAACTGGTCTCTGAACCTGACCTTATATCGTGACATTTCCATTCATCATACATCTGCATCAGAGGCTGGTCATCAGCTCTGAAAAGAGATTCGTCCCCGAAACGTGTTAGCCATTTGACCGCACTGACAATGAGAACACCTTGCCTGCTGTTGTGGCCATTGTCATTTTTGTATGCTTTTTAGATACATGCTTCATCTGTGAGTAGGTTTTTTTATTATTCTTTCACTCCTACAATAAACCTTGGATAATGCACTAGGTGTGTGCGCCACCTGTTTTCTCTCTATGCAGTACAAGTGAATTCATGTCTGTCGTCTTTCAGGGAGATTCTGCTGTCTTCAGACCTGACCCCACCATGCCCCGCTGTGAGTGTCGCTGTGTGTGCCTGCAGGGATCCAGCAAAGCTGTCACTGTAAACCAGAAAGCTCCTATGGTTACAAGTGACAGCAGGAAGAGCGGGTGAGAGCCGGAGGTGGCAACCTTGATAGAAATTGGCAAGTGGCAGGAAAGTTGTGCATCAGTGAGAACAAGAAAGTCCACAGCAAACTATTGGGCAATATCTACCAGCCAGTCAAAGCAGGTTTATAAACATTTGATAAAAACTGTTTGATCTACCAGAAAAAAAGCCTTTTTTCCACAAATTGAAAAGAATCACATTGGTTGTTCTGCTTTTGTATGTATGGTAATCATAAAAGTAAAAAAAAAAAAAAAAAAGATCAATGTGATCGCCGAATATGCCCTGGCAGAGTATGATGTTGATGACTTGGCATCCCCCAATTATTTATTGCACTAACAGATGTGATTGCGTGGCACGCTATATGAACTGTAGTTACATACAGTATACTGAGCTGTGCTGTGGCAGTGGGACAAGAACTTCCCGTCCCAATCCCAGAACAAAATAGAGTCATGCTGAGCACTGCTTAGCCACCCACTGGAGGCTTTGCATTCTATAAATGAATACAAAGCTTCCTTTGATTGGTTGAGAGATGGGTTGATGGAAGATCTCCACCTCAGTCAATCAGAAGAAGCCTGAAAAACGAGACAAGGACTGCTAAGGCCATGGAAAGGTGCAGGTGCCAGGACAACTGAAGACTTGTACTTGGGGGAGCTGGTGTCAGGCAAGCAGATGCACAGCAATGAGGGCTTCCCAACTTCACCCAGACCAATAGAGAGCAGCTGAGTTTGGTATCAGCTGGGCAGGAAGGCACCAAATCATAAAGCAGTTTCAAGGTCCAAGATGAGAAGAGGTTGGCAACATCCAGGCAACAAAACACAGAATTGAAATACAAAATCTTGGTCAAGAGTCCAGGCTGAGGTTGGTATCACAGGTAGACAGAAGACATAAACAGGCACGGGTAACCCAGAGATGAAAGCTGGGTCAATAACAGTGTCAAGCTGGATTCAGGATCATGGATAGGAAATAAAAGCTTAAAGACCATCCAAAGACCTACTTGGCCCAAACAAACTACTTAAAGGACATTAAATGTGGAGTTAGGCTTTAACTCATGTTGTAATTCCAGGCAAAAAGTGTTATGTTTTTGTCCAACATTGCAGTTAATTATCTGAATCAATCAATAACACATCTATCGATTAGATAAAGAGAGCCATGTTTGTTATGAAACAGCAAAATGTCATATGGTCATTTTCTTGATCGGACACTAACATTCATGGGAAAATTTCCATTTGGCTCACATTTCAGAAATAGGTTTGTGAGCAAGGACACCTATAAATACGCCTTCCCCTATATCACATTGACTGCTCTAATTGAGGGAGTTTCAAACTCCAATAATGTATAAATAGTGCTGACATTCAGATGAGGCTGAGTGTTCCAGCATGAGGCTTTTTCTGGTTTTTGTGCTCCTCGGGGCAGCTGGTGAGTTTGTATGGACTTAAATCCTACACCTTTTCACATATTTCCCTTCATTAAGGGATTGAATTATCTTTGTGCTTTTCACTTGCTCACTGGACTACATTCAAATGTTAAAATAAATTTCTTTAAAATCATAAATATAGTTTTTGAGTTGGCCAAGGGTCATGGTTTAGCTGGTGGAAATAAGGCAATACTGGAATTTACCCGAAGAGCTTAGTCAAAGGCAGTGTGTTACCCAAACAGAAGAGACTTATCAATTCGGAAAGTGAATGCTTATATATATTTTAGTGGTTACAATGAAGCTGTATTGATTAACCACCAAGCTCTGGATGGTTTTACCCCGTACATGACCAGGGCATTTTTTTTTGCTATTCAGTAATGAGCTACTTTAACTGGCAATTGCTCGGCCATGTAACACTGTACTCAAATGAAATTTATATCATTTTTTCATACAAATAGAGCTTTCTTTTGGTGGTATTTGATCACCACTGAGGTTTTTATTTTTTTGCTATAGTCTATCTGCGTATCCTTGTGTTTTCTAAGCGCAGATTGAAATTTTCCTTTGCCAGATGCTGTTGGACATGTCCTAGCATGCTTGAGAATGTTACAACTCTATTGTTATTCATCTGTATGAGGAGCTAGATAATCAGGGTGGCCTCTTGCACAAACTCCCATCTGAGCATCCAATAAAGTTGAGGCAAGAACTTCTAGGGTAATGGAAGGGTGCAGGTGGCAGGAAGCTGGAACTGTAGACTTGGACATGGGAACGCTGGTATTGGGTAAGCAGAAGTACTGCGATGAGAACACCCTGATTTCACCCAGACCAGTAGAGAGCAGAGCCAGGGTCACAAGCCAGGTTTGGTTACAACCGAGCAGGAAGGCCCTAAAACACAAGTGGAATCGAAGTCAGGGATGAGCAGAGGTTGGCATCAGGCAAGTAATGAGGTACAGAATTGATAGGCTAAATCTTGGTCAAGAGTCCAGCCCGAGGTCTGGTAACACAGGCAGGGTGAATCCAGAGGCAAGGGGAATTCAGAGATATAGGGAATCCAGAGGCAGGTCAGACGAAAGCTGGGTCAAGCAGAAATAACGATCAAGGGTAGCAGAGACAGAAGCTGAAAGACCATTCAGCAATTATCCAATGTAGAGCCCAGGTTTAAATGGGTTACTAGGCACCCGCAATTGTGGTGGATGTACCCATGTGTCCACTTGCACGCACATTCCTTTATAAGGCTTCAATGCTCAAAAACATGAGCACTGGCATGGGCCTTACAACTGGCAGGATCTCTCTGATGGTTATGAATATTTAATCACCCAGCAGGCAGCTAGATTGGGGATGGGTGTGTGTGTGCGTTTGTGGGGGGGTAGTGATCTGTGCTGGGAAAGTATTAAAGGCTAAATTCACATTTTCAGGCAGAATTTCACTTTCATGTGCTTATTTATCACTTACCTAGTCCATGGCAGCCTTTAATCTGCACCTCTCCATTCAAAAGTTTTTTAAAAAAATGCATTCTGAGCCCCTTACTTCCTGTATCATCATGTGATAATGCAGGAAACTTCATATTGCATCATGCACCGCCTTACTGTCACAGAACAGGACATGTTTACCACTCTCTACTACACTTCTGTCCTCACTAATCACATCATTGGTATTTGCACTCACTTTCCTACTTTTGCCTTTAAGTTGACCATACACAGTACAATCTGACTGTACAATCTCCTTTAGATCTACCATCAGCTATGTAGCGCAAAGGCCTGTCTGATTTGATACAAATTGGATTGTTCAGGTGGATTCTCCTATTACACAGTTTTGATAAATCTAAAGGAAATTGTAAACTCAGATTGCATACTATATGGCCAGCTTTATACAAGTACAAATACATGGGAGGGAGACATTCAGCTGTCAGTGTTCTTGTATTCCAGGTCCAACGCAGGACGGGGGAGAATGTAAACACACCAAATTCACTTTGAGGCCCCATTCACACAGCATAGCGGGAGTGCATTTTTTTTTTTTGGTGCATTTTTCTGGAGACATGCATAGGGCAGCCCATTGAATTCAAAGAGCTGCACTAAATGTGATGAACAGCAAAGTAACTCATGTGGCATTTTGGTGTGTTGTGGTCTGCATTTTTTTTTTTACCGTGCGTTTTTGCAGTCAACAAAATGCGCATTTTCTTTCACATTTGGGGTGCCATTAACAATGAATGGCACCAAAAGCACAATTAGTTTGTTTCAGATGTGTAAAGGTGGCCATATACTTTACAATCTGTGGTCAGGGAAGAAGCTAATGGAACATGATCTGTGCTCCATTAGCTTCAATAGAAGGCAAGGAAGACTATTATAGTATATTATTTCTATGTGTATATATATATATATATATATATATATATATATATATATACATACACACTCACCAGTTTCTTTATTAGGTACACCTGTTCAATTGTTTGGTAATACAAATTTCTAATCAGCCAATCACATGGCGGCAACTCAATGCATTTAGACATCTAGACGTGGTGAAGATGACTTGCTGACATTCAAACCAGGGGCGGACTAGTTTGGAAACTCAGGCACCGCCGCCCCGGGGTCAATAGGGGGCCCCATGAGATGCCCCTGGTACCTTTTTCATAGGCTTTATTGAGTTTGGGAAAGGACACAGGGGCCCCATGATCCCCTATTGCCCAGGGGCCCCATGAGTTGTCAGTCCGCCCCTGGTTCAAACTGAGCATCCGAATGGGGAAGAAAGGGGATTTAAGTGACTTTGAATGTGGCATGGTTGTTGGTGCCAGGCGGGCTGATCTGAGTATTTTAAAAACTCTACTGGGATTTTCATACACAACCATCTCTAAGGTTTACAGAGAATGGTCCGAAAAAGAGAAAATATTCAGTGAGCGGCAGTTGTGTGGAGGAAAATGCCTTGTTGATGTCAGAGGAGAATGGGCAGACTGGTTGCTGCGACATTCAGATGGTAGGGCCAGAATTTGGTGTAAACAACATGAAAGCATGGATCCAACGGCTCAGGCTGGTGCTGGTGGTGTAATGGTGTGGTGGATTATTTTTTGGGCCCCTTACTACCAATTGAGTGTCGTTTAAAAGCCATGGCCTACCCAAGTACTGTTGCTGACCATGTCCATCCCTGGACATGGTTGGGAAATATTTTCTTGGCACTATCAAGGTGTACCTAATAAAGTGGCTGTAAAAAACTGGATCTACTACCATTTTATTCTCCAGGGTGTCAGCTTTCAGAAAAAATATATAAATATGGGGTGTTTTAACCAATCTTCAGATTTTATTTGAGAGCAAATAATTTTTATTCCTAGATGCTTTATGACTCTACCGAGTTGTGTCAGATATTAGTTTTTTATCATGTCAGGAGTCAGGAATGTGTGGACATTTTTACATGATCCTCTAGTGCGTAATGTTTCAACATTCTGTTCCTTATAGCTGCCTTTGATGATGATAAGATTGTTGGCGGTTATGTCTGTAGCAAGAACTCTGTGCCCTGGCAGGTGTCATTGAACGCTGGCTATCACTTCTGTGGAGGGTCCCTTATTAACAGCCAATGGGTGGTCTCTGCTGCTCACTGCCATAAACAGTAAGTAAAGAATGAATGAATGAAGGAATGAATGAAGAAAGCCAGATGAAACATTGTCTCCAGGTGTTAGGTCTGGCGATTGTGGAGGCCACGATTGGTGTAGCATACCTTCCTGAATAGCAGCAGCCCCAGCTCTTGCAAATTCCAACACACAAAAAGCCTTCTCTTGCTTCAATGTCGCCATCTTGCGTACTAAGCACTACACTACGCCTCTGGTGATGATGACATGAACAAGCAAATGATTCTACAATGACTTGAGATCGCTCACCTTCATCGTTTTCACCAACTGCCCATTTACCATTGTTATCATTGTGCAAAAGTAAAAACTTGCAGCAAGAGTGACAACAATAGTAAATGGCAATCATCTGTTGTGTCCAGGGGTGGACTGACCATTTGGAAACTCGGGCACTGCCCGAGGGCCCGGGGTCAGTAGAGGGCCCCATGAGATGCCCCTGGTACCTTCCATAGGCTTTTTTGGGTGTAGTTTGAGTGAGCGAACTGACCATTTGAGCATTCGGACACTGCCCAAGGGGGGTCAGTTGGGGGCCCCATGAGGTGCCCCTGGTACCTTGCTTTTTTGGGTGTGGTTTGAATTTGGGCAAGGGGGGCCCCATGATCCCCTATTGCCCGGGGGCCCCATGAGTTGTCAGTCTGCCCTTGGTAGTGCATGAACTACTTTGAAGTCGCACAGATATGAATGGTACCCATTGGGAAACATGGGGGGGGGTGACTAGTCCAGGGGCGGACTGACCATTTGGAAACTCGGGCACTGCCCAAGGGCCCGGGGTCAGTAGGGGGCCCCATGAGATGCCCCTGGTACTTTTTTCATAGGCTTTTTTGAGTTTGGGCAAGGACACAGGGGCCCCATGATCCCCTATTGCCCAGGGGCCCCATGAGTTGTCAGTCCGCCCCTGGTTGCGTCATCAACAGGGCTCACTTCGAAAATTTGTAGTGCAGAGGTAAAACTTGGACAGTTAATGTGTCTTTTCACATTAATATAGTTGTGTTAGGTTCATTCAGTATGAATAAATCAGAGCTACTTTTGCACCATCCTTTTTCAATCACACAGTAATATTATAAACAACTATAGTAACTGTATGAATATTATTAGTGAAAGTAGTAGTAATAATAATAAAAAAAAATACGAGTAAAATAAAAGTAATAATGAAGGATTGAAAAACCACCATGTCATCTGGACTACTATCCAGCATATACTGAATACTGAAAAAATTAAAACTGAAAAAGACACCTGGAGCTATATTCCCATAATTACAATAATGATGATTATTTTATTTTTCAACATTATTATTAATAATAATAACAACAACAAACACTCTGTCATCTGGACTACTACTATCCAGATAACAATACAGCATATACTGAATACTTAAAAAAATTAAAACTGAAAAAAAACACCTGGAGCTATATTCCCATAATTACAATAATGATAATTATTCATTTATTTTTAAATAATAAAAAAATAACAAAAACAAAAGAGTGAAAACCACTCTGTCATCTGGACTACTACAGACCAATCTCAAAACAATAAAGCATATACAGAAATATTCTACGATCAAAAAACAAAAACTGAAAAAGATACCTGGAGCTACATTCCCATAATTACTGCTACTGTAAAATAATAATAATAGTATTTTATTATTAATAATAATATTACCAACATTAAAAAACAACAATAATAATAATAACATAAGATTGAAAACAACACTGTCGCCTGGACCAGCGGTGTATTTACCGCAAAGCAAACAAGGCTTTGCTTTGGGTGGCAATTTTCAGGGGGGCAGCATTGCCCCCCAGAAGAAGTGACAAAAGTGGCACGGATGGGGACTGCCAGAGCTTTGCCAAGGAGGCTGAAGCTGTGTGCTGCTGGATGCTGCTGGGATAGCCGGCTGTTTCTAAGGTCGGTGCTAGTGCTAGAATCAGGTGGTTGCGGAGGGTGGTGGTGCCGGGGTGGCTGTTGTGGTGGGCAGGAGAGGTTGGTGTTGTGGTGGGCGATTGTAGTGTTGCCTAGGGCAGCACAAGAAATCAATACACCACTGGTCTGGACTATTACAGACTGATCTCAAAACAATAAAGCATATACTGAAATTTTCCACAATCAAAAAAAAAAAAACAAAAACTGAAAGACACCTGGAGCCATATTACCATAATTACCTGTAGTAATAATAATAATAATAATAATAATATTATTATTATTATTCATAATATTACCAACATTAATAATAATAATGAAAGACTGAAAACCACACTTTCATCAGGACTACTACAGACCAATCTCAAAACAATAAAGCATACACTGAAATATTCTACAATAAAAAAAAACAAAAACTGAAAAAGACACCTGGAGCTATATTTTACTGTAATAATATCAATAATAATAATACCAATAATAATAATAACGAAAGATTAAAAACCACACAGTCCTCTGGACTACTACAGACAGATCTCAAACCAATAAAGCATACACTGAAATATTCTACAAAAATAAATGACATCTGGAGCTCTACTCTTTTAACCCCTCGCCTACCAGGCACTTATACCCCCTTCCTTACCAGGCCAATTTTCAGCTTTCAGCGCTGCCGCACTTTGATTGACAATTGCGCGGTCATGCAACATTGTACCCATATGAAATTTTGATCATTTTTTTCTCACAAATAGAGCTTTCTTTTGGTGGTATTTAATTGCCACTGGGCGCTTTACTTTTTGCGCTATAAATAAAAAAATTGCAAAAAATTTGAAAAAAAAAAAAGTTTCTTTGTTTCTATTATAACATTTTTCAAACAGGTATTTTTTCTCCTTCACTGATGTGCGTTGATGAGGCGCACTGATGGGCACTGATAGGCGATGGGCACTGATAGGCGGCACTAAAGGGCACTGATAGGCAGCACTAAAGGGCACTGATAGGCAGTACTAATGAGGTGGCACGGATAGGCGGCACTAATATGCAGCACTGATAGGTGACACTGATGATGGGTACTGATAGACGGCACTGACTGGCATCACTGCTGGGCACTGACTGGTGGCACTGACTGGCACAACCCCTGGGCACTGACTGGTGGCACTGACTGGCAGCACTGCTGGGCTGCACTGGTGGCTGGGCACAGGTGGGTGGCACTGCTGGGCACAGGTGGGTGGCACTTCTGGGCACAGGTGGGTGGCACTTCTGGGCACAGGTGTGTGACACTGCTGAGTGGCACAGGTGGGTGCACTGCTGGGCACAGGTGGGTGATCTGCTGGGCACGGGTGGGCGGAGCTAGTGGGCGCACTGCTGGGCACAGGTGGGACGGAACTTGCGGGTGGCACTGCTGGGCACCGATCATCAGGGCACTGGTGATCAGTGACCCTGATGATCGGTGCCGATCCCCGCTCTGACAACTGCCGGTTCTCGGCAGTACTTTCCTCACGATCTGACAGCGTGAGGAAAGTGCAGCCGAGAACCGGCACTTGCATTTTCCTCTGATCAGCGTGTCATTGGACACCGCTGATCACGTGGTAAAAAGGCCGCTGTGATTGGCCTTTTACCACATCACGTGATCAGCTGTGTCCGTAGGACACAGCGATCACGGAGATCGCCGGGTGCGCGCCCCCTGGGGCGCGCAGGAGAGCGCGTTCTGGGAGGACATCATATGACGTCCACTCAGAACTGGCCGGCCGCAGTGCAGCCGTCATTTGGCTATCTGTCATGCTCTTCCAGAGGTTTTTGTAAGATTATTGGGCAGTTTCTCTGCCTACAAGATATTATCACAGATGATTGGTTTACTTTTGCAGTTCTCAAAACTGAATTTGACTCGGCGGAGATCACATGCCTCTTCTTCACAGCAAAAATGTTATAACATGAACAGAGTTAAGAAAAAGACCTTCATCCTAACTTCTACAAACCTATGAATACAGAATCAACCCCTTCAGTGCTAAGTTTCAAGAAGTTCAGTGAATAGAATAGAAACAATATTTTTCTGATTGTTTGGAGTGGAATAGATCTGCACAAGAAGAAAGTGCAACTAAGTGTGAGGAGGAAGGGGCTGACAGTCTAAGTTTCTTAAAATATATATATTTTGTGTAGCCAAATTAGTTACCAAACATGGATGTTTAAGCAAATCACATATGCTGGAATGTTATTGTTTCAGTTGAATAAATCTATTTAAATTGTTATTATTAAGGTATGATTACAGAAAAGTTGTCCAAATATGAATGATTAACCTATTAAACTGGGGATAAAAAAACTAATATGAAAAGTTGTTCTAAAAATCTTCATCTACTTGTATATTAAAGTTATACCAGCAAGAATTAGTCTTTATGTAGAAAACTAGGATTTACATCAAGCCTTACTGACTAGTGATTTAAATCGTGATTTAAATCAGTTTGATTTAAATCAAATCCACCCTGCTTCTGCCATTCACTATCAGGGGCAGACTGACAACTCATGGGGCCCCCGGGCAATAGGGGATCAAGGGGCCCCTGTGTTCTTGCCCAAACTCAAAAAAAACCTATGAAAAAGGTACCAGGGGCATCTCATGGGGCCCCCTACTGACCCTGGGCCCTCAGGCAGTGCCCGAGTTTCCAAATGGTCAGTCCGCCGCTGATCACTATTGTTCCAGTGAAGTCAGTTGCCAAACATACAATCCAAATGTTGTAGCATGTTGATGTAGAGAGCCCTCCATTACATGTACCCTGTGATCTTGTTTTCTACAGAAAGGTGGAGGTCAGACTGGGAGAACACAACATCTTCGTAAGTGAAGGTACAGAACAGTTCATCAGCAACTCCAAGTCCATCAGACATCCCAACTACAATTCCAGGACCCTGGACAACGACATTCTCTTGATCAAGCTCTCCACTCCAGCTGTTCTCAATCAGTATGTCAATGTCATACCCCTTCCCTCCAGCTGTGCCTCCAGTGGGACCCGCTGTCAGATCTCTGGCTGGGGAAACACACTCAGCAGTGGCTGTAAGTCTGAAGGATCTATCATCTGCTTACTTAGGCCGGCCATACATTATACTTTGTGTGTAGGCAGGTTAGTGAGCGCACTCCAGTAAGCGGCAAATGCACTAAAAAAGGAGCCACAAAGCCTTTCCTACTGAAATTGACAAAATAAAAGTGCAGCGCTACAAACAATATCCTTATAGTAATTATGTTGAAATGACTAGCGAAAAAAGTTAATTGTCCAATGCAATAGTATCAGATGTGGTAAGCAGTTCAATTATGAGAAAACTTCCAACAGCGCTGGTTTAATCCAATCAATATCGAGGAGTAGGTAGATTGCCCGCTCACCAGAAGCGCAATCTCAATGCGCATGTACAGGTCACATGTAGCCGAGGTCTCATGTAGGCGCTGCTTGGTAGTACCCTGGTGGTCCCTCAATGGTAAGGAGATACTGGTCTGGTCGGATCACACTGCTCCTTGGATCCACACAGAAGCCTAAAGTACTGGGGCTGAGGTATGGGGGCTCAGTGCCAGGTATATAAAAAGTAAAGGTGCTCATAGTGAAGTAATTTTAAATAAAAATGTATTAAATCCAATGTATAAAAATCAGATTAAAATTACAAAGCACATGCCTGCAGCCTGTAGCCAGTTAAAGAGGCTGTAAAGAACATCTAGAAACACTGACCAGTGAAACTCAAGGGTTGGCCACCGACCTCCTGATCCGGCGGCGTGACGTCAAGGCGTGCGAAGGCTCCTCCTAGACGCGTTTCATGTGACCTGTACATGCGCATTGAGATTGCGCTTCTGGTGAGTGGGCAATCTACCTACTCCTCGATATTGGATTGGATTACACCAACGCTGTTGGAAGTTTTTTCATAATTGAACTGCTTACCACATCTGATACTATTGCATTGGACAATTAACTTTTTTCGCTAGTCATTTCAACATAATTACTATACATTATACTTTAGCTATACCAAAATCCATATAATAGGAGGTCAAACCTAAACGACACTTTCAATTGTATCTAATTAGGCCAGCCCTTGAACTGCATAGTTGAAGGTAAATCTAAAGGAAATTGGGCAGAAAACTGTAAGAAAATTGTATAGTGTATGGCCAGCCACAGGCTGAATGATGTTTTTTTTTTTATCAGATTTTTTTTTTTTCAGAAGCCGATGTATTTATATCTACACCACATAACCATTTGCAAGTCTACTGCCTATTCCTGAGCAGTGACATTAGAATGGAAAGGAAAGAGAAGAATTAGCAAGCAGAGTAAATATGGTTTCAAAATGCAGAATGCATTTATTTATTTCAGGTACTTCTATAGTGCTGTCAATGTACGCAGCGCTTTACATATATATTGTACATTCACATCAGTCCCTAACCCTCAAGGGGCGTACAATCTAAGGTCCCTAACTCACATTGATACATACACATACTAGGGACAATTTAGACAGGAGCTAATTCACCTACCAGCATGTCTTTGGAGCATGGGAGGAAACCGGAGTACCCGGAGGAAACCCACACAGACAAAACATGCAAACGCCAGGCAGGTGGTGTCATGGTTGGGAATTGAACCAACAACCCTAGTGCTGCTAGATGGAAGTGCTAACCACTTAGCCACTGTGCTGCCCAAAGCTTCTCTTGTTTTGAATTCTCTGTTGGACATCACATGGGTAAGATTACAAGCTGCTGTCAATCAATGAGCTTAGAGTCAAGGATAGCAGAACAGGGGTGTGACTTGAAACCCTATATTTCAGGGTTGTGTTTTGAGTTTTGACGTAAACAGTGTAGGGGCAGTGGGCCCTGAAGTGTGCATGCAAGGGTGCATCCATTGGACTACACAAGGCAATGGCTCCACCCTAAAACAGGAAGCCTGTGGCAGTGATCTTTGGACTGGCTCATTGGAACACAACCTCACTTTCCAAAAACGTGTCTCCTCTGCAGTAATGCACACTTACCTGTCTGCTAGCAGCACAATGTTGACAAGGCCAAGGGCCTCATTCCAAAAATCTTTTCATGCTAGCTTTAAGGGTCTGTGGGCGGGGCTTATAAGAATCTGGACACACCCTTTAATAATAAAGGGGCTCTCCAGATACCAACCACCTACATGAATTAATAGGGGATACATAGTACCCCTATTGATTAAAACAGTTATAATCTAGAAATAAAGACACACAAATGTTTCACAACTCCTTTATTACAAAAAATTAAGCTGCCCACCGACTGCCCAAAAAGAACCCAATGACCTGGCACACATGACCAATCCTGACGGTAACACTAGCCGAATGACAGCTCCCCAAACTGTTATCAGCTATATATAAGGAAGGGGTGGGGACAGTGGTGACACCATTGACCAAATATGGACATGGCCATACTTTGTCAATGCCATTGATATCACTGCTATCCGTACCCCTTTTCTTAAAGAGGGTGGGGAGTCGCTGTGATATCAGTGCTATCTAGGGTGCCTTAGAAACTAGTGACAGTGGGAAGTTGTCATATATAGAAGCAGTATAAATGCCACTTCCATATATGATGCACGGCCTCCTCTCTACAGGAGCTTCCTGCAGTTTCCTGCAGGCAACCTGTAGGTGGAGCTGCTGGGCCCCTCTCTACAGGAGCTTCCTGTAATAAAGACCGGTCACTGCTGATCTATCTCCTTGTGGAGGGTGACTGCCTCCGCCCCCTAGTTTCTGCAGGCAACCTGTAGTGGAGGCTGGTCTCTACAGACTTCCTGTAATAAAGACCGGTCACTTGCCTCTCCTTGTGGAGGGTGACCCCCCGCCCCCTCCTGTAGTTTCCTGCAGGCAACCTGTAGGTGGAGCTGCTGGGCCGCTCTCTACAGGAGCTTCCTGTAATAAAGACCGGTCACTGCTGATCTATCTCCTTGTGGAGGGTGACTGGTCTTGCCTCCGCCCCCTCCTGTAGTTTCCTGCAGGCAACCTGTAGGTGGAGCTGCTGGGCCCCTCTCTACAGGAGCTTCCTGTGATAAAGACCAGTCAATGCTGATCTCTCTCCTTTTGGAGGGTGACTGGTCTTGCCTCCACCCCCTCCTGTAGTTTACTGCAGGTAGCCTGTAGGTGGAGCTGCTGGGCTCCTCTCACAGTTCTGCTTTTTGCGCAGGTTATATACAGCACAGTGATGATGTCGCTGCTACTTTTACAAGGTAATATCTGCGCATTTGGTGCACAGAACATTGATTTATATCCTTTGTGGCAAAAAAATATATGTAAACCTTCACCTTATAAAACAACCCATTCAGTTTGAAATAGAAATTAACATAAATACATTTGTGTATAGATATAAAAAAAAATTATAAATACGTTATTTCCCCCTTTTTATAAGTGATCACATACCCTCTGTTCTTAGCTACATAAGAGCTGGGGGAGGAGAAAAATAGCAGGATACTGATCTGGTTGTGCAGAGAGGATATGTCAGCAGACCTCTGATCATTGGAGGAGAGTAGGCTAAGTTCCCAGCACACCTAGAGAGATGACCACGCTGTGCTATCATGCCTAGTGTGGCCAGTCTTTAATAGGAAAGCAGAGGGACTGGCAGGAACAGCAGGGATTTTACACAAAGGAAGCATTACAAAGAGACCAGGAGACTTTTTCATACAAGTACATTGCACAGCAGGCACATATCAGGAACAGGAAATGTTGGGTTTACCTATTCTTTAAGGAATACATTTAAATGGCAGCTATTGTGCCTGATGTTTGGCTTTAAATAAAACCCTTTCTTTTTTTTTCAGCCAATTATCCAGATCTCCTGCATTGTGTTGATGCTCCAGTCCTGACTGACGCTCAGTGTAACAGTGCCTATCCTGGAGAAATCACAGATAACATGATCTGTGTTGGCTACATGGAAGGAGGGAAAGATTCCTGCCAGGTAATATGTTTTTCTCTTTGTTTTTAGAAGAATGGCCTTCATGGGGTTGGAAAAGGAACCTGCTATGGATTTACTAAGGATAAATGATCAAAGGAAAAGAATCATTCCACATGGGGGTTGATGTACTCTCCTCATGCATTACCGTGATATATAGGAATTTATTATAAAATCACAAATGCATACTCACAAACCAAAAAGGTCATAAAAACAGAGACAAGGAGCCAAAGATGATGGTCCCAGACTATGGGGGTCCTTTTGGTGGAAAATGGGGGAAACCCAACCTCGCCCTCTCTGTGCAAAAGATAGCCTATCTTTTGTACAGCGGGGGTTAGGTTGGGTTTCCTTTAGCATTTGGTCCCTTATATATGAACCCAGAAGCGTCCTAGGGTAGGTGTCACCCGGTGCGGTAACACTTGGTGACACCCCCTTCGACGATCCCCGCAGAATGGATCGGATCTGCGGATTGAGCATAATGGATCGGACTCCGATCCATTATGCTCAATCCGCAGATCCAATGCATCCTGCGGGGATCGTTGGCTTTCTTTACAACTTACATTTTCTTGGAGCGGGTCCGGTGTCACCCCGTATAGGTTGCATGCCGACGAGGATCGTCGGCATGCAACCTATACGGGGTGACACCGGACCCGCTCCAAGAAAAGGTAAATTGTAAAGAAAGGCGACGATCCCCGCAGGATGGATCCGATCCTTCCTGCGGGGATCGTCGGCTTGCTTTATAATGTACCTTTTTGTGGAGCGGGTCAGGTGTCACCCCATGCGGTTGGTGTCACCCGGTGCAGACTGCACCCCCCGCACCTGCCTCGGACGCCACTGTATGAACCATCAATATGTATAGGGATTTATTATAAAATCACAAATGCATACTCACAAACCAAAAAGGTCATAAAAACAGACACAAGGAGCCAAAGATGACGGCCTCAGACTGTGGGGGTCCTTTGGTGGAAAATGCTAACACATTTCGGGAATCAAACTCCCTTCCTCAGAGCTGAAAATCTTATACATATTGATGGTTCATATATAAGGGACCAAATGATAAAGGAAACCTAACCTCACCCCCTCTGTGCAAAATATAGGCTATATTTTGCACAGAGCGGGTGAGGTTGGGTTTCCCCCCATTTTCCACCAAAAGGACCCCTGTAGTCTGGGACCGTCATCTTTGGCTCCTTGTCTCTGTTTTTATGACCTTTTTGGTTTGAGTATGCATTTGTGACTTTTTAATAAATCCCTATATATCACGGTAATGTGTGAGGAGAGTGAGTCCTGTTTTATTCTGTTTTGCTAGTATCAAGATCCCCTGATCTATTGAGGGCTGCACCTCAGCAAGTGACAGATTCTGCGTTTCCTGAGTGGCATGAAGATCTGAGTGCTGGTTTTGGTATATGATGGGGGTTGATGTACTAGAGGCAAATAGACTGTGCACTTTGCAAGTACAGTTTGCTCCAGAGCTTAGTAAACGAGGTAAAGCTTCACAATCCAAAAAACACCCAATCACATGAAAGAAAAAAAAAACAGCAATTTTTGCTTGCACCTGATTGGATGATAAAAGACAGCAGAGCCCCTCCCCCCTTTTTGTTAAGCTCTGGAACAACTGCACTTGCAAAGTGCACAGTCTACTTGCCTTTAGTAAATCAACTCCGTAATGTCACTTATATATCCCCCCAGAGAGAGGGGAGAGAGAAGAGAGAGGGGAGAGGGAAGAGAGAAGGGGGGGAGGAGAGAGAGAGGGACTAGAGAAGAAAGAGGGAAGAGAGAGGGGGGAGATGGAAGAGAGGGGGAGAGAGAGAGAGAGACGGGAGAGAAGAGGGAAGAGAGAGGGGGGGAAGAGAGAGAGGGGAGGGAGAGGGAAGAGAGAGAGGGAGAGGGAAGAGAGAGAGAGAGAAGATAAAGGGAGAGAAAGAGAGGGAGAAGAGAGAGAGAGAGAGAAGAGAGAGGGAAAAGAATCTCCACTGTGATTCATTTGACCACTGAGGTGGGAGGGCTTTGGGCAAGGTCTTTTCTGGAATAAAGTCTTCATGCTGGACACGTCATTGGTGTTTTGCTATTTGGTTTGTTCTTTGGCGTCGGTTTGGGGTACAGATGGCTCCTTTTTAGCTGGCACCCGAGTTCCGAGAGTATTGAATGGAGGATGTGTGTCTGTAACTTCTAAATGGAACAATTAGGTACTTTATGGATACTTATTGTGAAATGCATGTTTCTCTCCTCAGGGTGACTCCGGTGGCCCCGTGGAGTGTAGAGGAGAATTGCAGGGTGTTGTCTCCTGGGGATACGGATGTGCCCAGAAGGACTACCCTGGAGTCTATACCAAGGTCTGCAACTACAACTCCTGGATAGAAAACACCGTTGCTGCCAATTAACAAACATGTCATATTGTGTCTGCAATTGTTACCTTCAATGTATCTTTATTACACAATGTTCCAAAGTTTTTAAACAGTCATATCATAATACAGTTTAACATAAAACAAAAACACAGCAATCTAATGCTGTCCTATGTAAGATCTTTTTTATATACCGAGATACATAACCAATTCTATCGACCCCCGCCATTACCTTTTAGCACCTCAAGCTTTCCTTCTTAAAACTATTCCTACAATTATATTATACAGTACATATCATGTAGTTTAACAAAATACCCCAAACACCTGTTTTGGGGAAAAAATATCATCAATTAAAAACAACAAAAACAAACAAACCAGAAAAAAATGGCCAAGAGTATGGCAGCTAGGCAAAATCTAATTCTGAATTCAAGTTTTAATATATAAGTTATAAAGAAGCATTTGGACGGACTAGGTACCCCACACCCACTCCAGAGCCACAAGGGTATTTTTTTTTGGCACTTCCAAAAGTTTAACTTTTCAGATACATGAGTACAAGTCAGAAATGCTGTATCCAATAGGATGCAGTTAGCAGGGGTGTATTACCTAAGGCAAAAAAGGCATTTGCCTAGGGCGGCATTTTTTTGGGGGGGGCAACACTGCCCCTTGGAAGCAGAGATGGAAGAAGGGACACACACGGCATGGGGACCTGGTGGGTTCCAAGAGATGCTGTGGGTTTCATGATGGTGTATGCACAGCCCAACTCTCGTCCTGGGGATGTCCGGAGCTGTAAAGGGGAACGTCTCTCTCTCTTTCATCCAGGGGGATGGTGGCTGGTGTATGGGGGGCAGTGGTAGTGGAAGGCTCGGGTGGAGGGCAGGGGTGTTCTTGGTCAATGTCAGGCTCTTTCTGAGGGGGGGCGCCAATTTTTGTGTTGCCTATTGCAGCACAAAACCTAAATACACCCCTGGCAGTTAGGAATAACCTTCTGGAAACCTTAGACATCATCTGTAGGGAAAAGCCTAGCAAGTACACATACAGATCCATGGAATTTTAATTTGCAAAAGGCTGAAGGCTAGAGCCTCTACATTTTGCCAAAATGGCTTGATCTTTGGCCAGAATATATGATATAGTGTTCCCAGTTCTTTATGACACTTCCAGCACTGATCCAATATCTTGTGGTTAAAGTTATATTTGACCTTTACAGAAAAAGTGAAAAGGTGAACCAACACCCTACATCCTTCCCAACTCCCCTGGGTCCCACTTCAATTCCTTCCATAGCTGATTCAGTTTCACCATCCACACAGCCTGTAGCAGTGGTCCTGGGGTTTGAAAACTGGAACGGGAGCCAGGATGGATCACAGCAATTCTGACTGGTTAGTGTGATCATGTGTAGGTGCTCACCAATCAGAAGTGCTCTGATCCGTGCATTTGTGACAGGTTCACTTTTTTTATAGAATACATTTTTATTGAAAAGTGTGGCACACTGACAATGAAAAGGTAACACAATACTACAACGACAGCAGCACACGAGATAACAATAGTTATTGTCAGCAAAGAATAGCTAACAGCAAGAAAAAAAAAGGAGTCTTATAGAGCCGCATAGACTTCCGCTATTTGCGGACTCAAGCCTCTACTTGGTCGGCCATACTAGTGAGAGCTAAGAAGGAGGAAGGAACCCGAGCCCAATACCAGGGCAAACTCAACAAGCGCTGCAGGGAGCACATTGTGCCTTAAAAGTTGGATAGCATCAGAGATCCAGCAAGTAGCAATAGGTGTCACAATGTAAAATAGGTGATAAGAGAAAGACAGAAAAGGAAGGAAAGAGAAGTAGAGAGGAAAAAAAAAGGCTAAAAAAAGGAAGAAAATGTCCAATGAGAAGGAAGGGGGGTCAGTCCAGCACAGTCCCGAAGAGCAATGACAATTACCTAGTTGCGTAGGAAAGGCAAAAGTATGGTTGAATCAGAAAACTCAAACCAAAGATCCCTAAACTTTGCAAAGTTTTCATTGGCTATGGTCAATAGCTCCTCCATTCGCATTATGTAATTTAGTTCAGTGATTCATTCCCGGATAGTAGGAGTCGTGTGGGACTTCCAGTGCCTAGGAATCAGGGCACAACCCTCCATAATTGGGAATCTGAAAAGACTTTTTTTTAATGTGTTTGATGGAACCGAGGATCATGGAGAGTAAGGATAGTTCTGGTGTCTTAGGCCACGTCTTTCCCATAATAAGGTGGCTCAGTTGAAAGACACTCATCCAAAATGGTTTAATTTTAGGACAGGACCCCCACATATGGAGACGTGTACCACCTGGCTCACCACATTTTCAACATTGAGTGACAAGTTCTCTTTAATGAGACATCAGGGGTCTATTAGACCCCTGATGTCTCACCTGCCTTTCACTGAAGGTAATGGAGCACAGATCACGCTTCTAACACTAAAAACTGTAAGTTATGTTATACATGTTGTTCCAGGTTATTTACAGCTTGGGGAGATCAGCGAAAGGTTGATTTCTCTCCCTGTGACACCCACCATGTAGGATCTGGACTCGCAGGTAGAAAAAAAGAGCCCAGGAAGCATATTAGGGGGAGTCCCATGGAGGGGGGCACAAATCCAGGGGACAGAGAAAGTGATCATTAGGCTATGTTCCTCTCCACTGCTAGATTTGGGTGTTCCTACTCACCTCTGATTGTTCCAGTTCCTCCTATTCTACAAAATATAAACTAAATAAAAACCCAGCAAGGCTGGCAAGAGCCCCTTATAACTGGCACATTAGGTGAACAAACCCTGGATCTCCCCATAGAGTGAGAAAATAGAAGGAACTGTCGGGTAGTTAAACTTTCATGCATCCACCAAATACTTTGAAATCTAGTTAAAAAAAATCTGCACAGCCATCAAAAATAATCCCATAATATATTTATTTCCCATGATTATCTGCTCCATCTAGTGGTAATAATATGGTATTTTCCTAGCTGGTATATTTCAAGAATATACCACATTATGGCCACAGGATGAAGCTGATAACCAGAAGAAAAAACACAAATTAGGTACTTTCTGGGGATTATTTGCAACCTCTGAGAAATGTGAAAATTGTGGAAAAATGGACCCCTTTTGAATGAACAATACAACAAGGGGTTCTGGAACCAGTCTGACAATATTTAGTATACTCCTTAACACTAATACTGGTGAGAAAAAAGAAGGGTAAGGGAGTGGTGACAAATTACATAGACAGCATGACAAGTTAGTGGGTATCTTAAAGTTCATCTCCTTTCCCTTCCCACACCAATGACCCCAAGCTAATCACACGTTTTTTTCTAAAAGACATAAATACACTGAAAACCCCAAATAGTGATCTGAAAGAGCAGTCACATGACATGAAAGGACAAATTCAATTTTTCCTTCTTATCCTATGCAGTGTGTGGGTGGAGGACCTTTCTGCAGTGTCTAGGTCTCCTTCTGGTGTGTGAAGTTGTCTGAGTCTGCAAAGTGTGATTTATTCCTAAATCACAAGGGGGCAGTAACAAAATAAATTGGGAGATTGTGGAGGCCAGTGGAGAAGAGCAAAAAATTACCATCCCCCAGCACCACGACAGACCTCATTAAGTATCACATTGTAAGCCGTGTACCGGGGTGGGCTCCCCAGGATACAGTGAAGTCACAAACGAGGAAAGCAACCCCAACACAGCTTTTATCACAACAGAATTGTACTTAGATGTGGCAAATAAACACAACCACAAATGCTGGAAACATAAAATAAATTTACATACACCCAGCCCAAAGGCTGAGACCCTTGTGCTGAACAGCACGGCGCCTCCTGATGGATGAAGGTAGAAGGTGAAGTAATTTACCTACTGGGGGGCACTAATAAGCTGCCACACCTTACCTGTTATTACCCTACAGAGCAGGAATCAGTATATGGGTGTACGGTATGGGCTAGCCTGCGGTGCAGCACAACAGCTTACAATCTTACACAAATCTACAGTATTCCCCCTCCCATAACTGCTCCTGTAGCACATGCCTGAGTATTCCTTCTGAGCAAAACGCCAGTCTGGCTTGAGTTTGTAGGATTTTATCAGCTCTCCAATGTGAAATGTCACTTTAAGTTGTGGAGTCCTTCCAATAACCAGTAACAACACTTGTGGCCTGACACAAACAGAGACCCTAACTAACTAACTATAGGCCTGGACTCAGTCTCAAGGCGCCAACACTGAAATGAGGTGCATGCACGATCTTACTAACCCGGGTCTGCTTTGCATCTGCTGATGACTCTGAACAGAACAAATGTCTCTCCAACAAGCATGCGGTCTTTCCATATATGTTGCTTAGTTCCTCTGCTCTCATCAGCCTTCCTGGCAGCAATCTCATCAGCATTCCTGGCAGCAATCTCATCAGCTGCCTGGCAGCAATCTCATCAGCTTCCTGGCAGCAATCTCATCAGCATTCCTGGCAGCAATCTCATCAGCTTCCTGGCAGGAATCTCTGGTTACTGAGGGACGCTTTCACACCTGGATGTCATCAGATTCTCAGCTCACACGGACCCTTATTCACCATGCTCCAAAAAATGGCTTCTCCCTCTCCTTCCTGTTCTCTCCAACTCTGTGTGCAAAACCCCACCTCTTCATGAATATACGAATATCTATGCAGTCTGAGGCTGTGTTAGAAAAACAGTGACATCTTGTGGCTAAACCACAGAATGTCAGTCAAAACATTAATTTACTTCCACACAAACAGTGTTCAAACAATGAAAGCTGTTTCCCCATCTCACAAAATGACCACATGCCATGGAATTGTGCCTGGTATAGATATTAAGGGGATACTTCATGCAAAAAAAAAAAATAAAACATAAAAAATAAGGTCCCCCTAAGCAATCCATACAAGACCCTTAATTTGAGCATGCATCCTGGCTAGTCAGTAAAGGGGGGCAAACATGCCAATGCCTGAGATAAAGACAGATGGATTCCAGGAAGTAAATGCTACCTGAATCATCTGCACCTACTTAAGTTGGCTACTGCCAGAAATACCAGGGAGTATTTTTCAAAATGA